TTTGGAGACTTTTGTTGGGAGCTCCCTCGTAACGTATAAACTTTTATTTTGCATGTGTATGGTATTTGTATATTTTAGTTATGCATTTGATAAATATTTTCAAAAAAAAAAGTTAGCCACTTAAGTGGTCTCATGTGACATCATAATACATCGACTTTCGGGTCAGATCGGATTAGGGTGTTACATTATCCCCACTATTGTTGTGATTTATTTTCTTTCAAGTGTCACCCTTTGATTGGAGAAAAATAAATCTATTAAATTAAAAATAAATTAATATAAATTTAATCTACCAATCGAATGATGACATGTGTCACCAATGGCACATTACACCTCTTGATTTCAGGGTTAAATTTATTTTAATTTATTAAAATTATGACCAAATTGAAAGAATATATAAAAACAAAGACCAATTATGTAATTATACCAAAATGTTTTAACTGCCACATCACCTTCTCCATTAAATATTAACGGCAGGTTGAAGTATTTAAATAGTTAGGTCGTATGATTGATCAAATCGAAACATTGGTGGTCAAAATGTTTTTTTACCATAGTTGAGTGGTCACCCGTGTAGTTTACCCTTAATTCAATGGTAAATTACGTATTTAGTGCTTAAACTATCAATTTTGGTTTGTTTTAATACCTAAATTTTTATTTTTTTTAAATCATATCTAACATTTAGTTTTTGTTTCATTTCAATACTTTGTCGTTAAAAACTTAATGGACATGCTCATCAGTCATTACATCTAGAGTCTTCAGTTGTTATATATGTCAATCGATGAAACCCCAAACTTTTTCAGTTTACACCTTTTTGACCCGTAAACGCAATTATGATCACCATTTTATCGAGAAACGCCTCAATCTCTATCTATTGACGGTAGACTCTTCGATTTTTTCATCTTACAATCTCATGGTCTACCATTCGATGGGTCTGAAACTGGACTATGTTGGTCGATTCGTCATTCTCTCGTGGTTCACCATTCGGATTGGTCGTCCATCCACTGGAGCTATGTCACGTCAGCCCGTTTGTAAATTTTTAACGATGATATATTAAAATAAAACATGTTGAACTTATATTTTGATATAACAAATATTTGTAAAATTGATTTTTGAACTTAGTCCAAAATATCTTGAAAAATATGTTTTCTAAATTGTTTTATATATGTGAAATGTTTTTGAGTTCATTAAAACATGTTTAAAGTGTTTAAAATGTGTTTAAAGCTTTTAAAATATGAAAAATATTTTTCAGTCACTATTTGGCATTGTTCATACACGAGTACTATTCATAGTTTCAAAACTTTTATAAGGGTTTCGAAACTTTGTACCCTAAAACTGTTTAACGGCCTGATTTTCATCAACAGATATATTTTCAAGTAAGAGTTTCGAAACTTTGATTAAAATTTTGATACTTTCCCCAGAGTTTAGAAACTTGCATGTGCATATGGCCTTTATTGCATGCTTTTAAATCTTCTAATGACTATAACTCATCCCCAATGGTCGTAAATGGATACCAACTCATTCCACATAATAAAAACACTCCAAGGACACTTGAAGAAGGTTACAACACCTATCCAAGCAATAGAGATCAAGAGAAAAACTCTTTCACTCTTTATTTTCCTTTTTCTCTTGTACATAAGTGTTTGAGCTTAATTGCCTATCTCATCCATTATTGTCAGCTCAATTATTGTAAATACCTACCTTTGCGAGGTTTTCTTGTTTAAATTTATTATCCTTTGTAAAAGGGGAGTGGTTCTAGCTTAGCCTTTGAAAAGCTAGGAAATTGTGAATTTATTAGTGAACCTAGGGGAAAAAGAACAAATTAATGAATTTATTAGAAAATCCTTAGTTGTGGAGCTAAGGCAGTGGATGTAGACTTGGTTGAGAAGTTGAATCACTATATATCGTTGTGCAAAATTTTCTATCTTTTATTGCTTCCACGCCAAAGATTTTTAAAGGCCAATTCACTCTCTCTGGGCGGTTTTCATTGATAGTTTCGAGCCTAACAAAACAAAACGTTGGGTATGATTTTAAAAAATGAAAGTTTATATACTAAAACAAACTAAAACCGATAATTTATATACTCAACACGTAGTTTACCCTTAATTCAATAATTGATATGATATTTTTTTATCATTTTAGTATGTTCGATCTTATATTTTTATATACATATAAAGTTGATCATGAGTCGAATTAGTTGAGGTCTTGATTCACTCGAATATAAACTCAAGTATAACACTCTTTCGTTTGTTATCTTACACGGGTTCAAAAAAGATCCACTTATGTTTTTTTTAAGTCTATGTTGTTTTCTATAGATCATATTTATTTATTTTTTCTTTGACTTTTTTTAGCTAACGGTAGCACCGGTTTTTATGTTGGTTGCTGACCATTGATTACATTTTTCTTTTTTAGTTCTTAATAAGAATAATTCTACATTTGTGACACGTTTTTCTCTGTCTTTCTGGTGCTTTTTTAGTTGTTCTTTTTATTTTTATATTTTCTCAGTGTTAGATTTGATGATACCACGATTGATCAAGATGACACTTATTTGAAAAATTCTCAAGTTGAATTTGGATACGCGATTTTGCATTCGTTGATTATTTCTTGCTACGCTTGACTTTGATTTGTGATTCTCAATTGTCCTTAAATAGCTTAGTCTTTTTTATGATTCGTTTAACGATGCAGTCAGATTCGTTTATGTATCTATTTTTCATTCGAATCTTTTGGTTAGATTTTTAACTTTTTCCATGTATGGTCCTTATATGATCTAAATTGACTAGTTTCAATGTTAAAGGAAAATATTCAACTAACGTATTTAGTTTATGATGATTGTTATAAACTCTTATTGTAATTTTAGATATTTTAATTTTTTTAGCAAGACTAGCGGCTTCTATTAAAAAGAAAGACTCACTCGACTTGAAACTCAATTAGACTTTTTAGGTAAAATTCCGCACTTGACTTGTTCTAAAATATATATAATAGTTAGGATGCACACTTCTAATTTTACATCTTTTTAGAGATCGTTGGATGAGTAATATCTCATTATTTTTTCTTACAAATATCTTCTCATTTAGTGACGAATCCACCCTTAGCCTAGTACCCACCCTGAAATTTAATTTTTCTTCAATTATTTATATAATTTATTAATTGTGTCTACCTCATTCAAACATTTTATATTATTAATGCATGTGTACTCATACTTAAAACATTTTTGAATCTCAGTATTCTCATTTATTGTTGTTAATCTAAGTTGTCTTTTTTTTTCTCATTTAACGATTCTAAAAAAGTATAACTAAAAAATATACGGTGTGAATGGATCATGCCTCATAAATTCTCATTTTATCATGTAAAAAAAAGATCTAATTGAAAAATATAGAGATGTATTATAGCAACAATCCATAAATATGTAAAGTCAATTATATTATTCTTGGGTTGGATTGAGTCAAGTCGAGAAATTTTCACCTATTGACTCGATCTTATCCTTCAAAAAAAAATTCCAAACCTGATTTGTTTTTTAAAAAAATAATGCTACAAAATCATATTCGATCAAAATTCATCAAGTTTGGATTAAATACTCTATTCCATAATATATTAACAATAATATTAATCAAATTAAAATTAAAATTAATCGATAGATAAAACAACATTTTTTTATAATAACAACTTCTTAAATGAAAATTAATAATTTTATAAGATTTTTATCTCTTTAGGTTATATATATATATAACTCTGAACATACAATTAATGAATTGATTTATCATTTCATCTATTATTATTGTTACATAATATTGATAAAAACTTACATAAATAAATTTTATTTATGTATATTGTTATTATGACAAAACATAATATATAACAAGATAAAATATGTAAATAATCATTTGATATTGACTTTTTGTTGAATACATTAACTATGAAAAATTATAAAATCATTGGATTTAAAAAATAATAAATTAATCATTTTCCGTAAAAAATAATAATGTGATAGACTAATTTTTTTATTCTTATATTTTGTTTTAGGGCATGCAAAATGAATTATATTTTTTAGAAAATAATTTTTTGCATTCATTTTATAATGTTTCGATGAAGTTATGTAAACCATTTATCACAGGTTGATAATTTTTTAGAAATTATTTATTTAAAATTTTTAATACAATAAATAATATTATTTATTAGAAAAAATTAATATTATTATCTTTAAAGTACTAGAATAATTTAGTTAATATTATTTATGTCAATATTATTATTAAATTATTATTTCTACACTTTTATAAATAAAATATTAATACTATCATGTTTTATTAGAAAAACTATAAATTATATTAATTATTTATTCAAATAATAGTATTAAATTATTAATTATTAAAATAGGACTATTATTACAATATCATTAAATTATATTTTTATAATATTGAAAATATAATATTATATTATTGAAATTATTAATAAATATATGTTTATAAGTAATATTTTTTTATTAAAATGATATTACAATAATATATTAGTAATAAATACATAAAATAATACTATTTTGATTATTTATCTTTTAAAGTGAAAAATTCGAAAAACGACTTACCAAAAATTAGATTGTAAGTTATTTTTATAGAAAATGTAAATTAAATTATATTAATCAAAAAATGAATTAAATTGATCATCTGTTTTCCTCCAACCAAACACTAGAAAATGAAGAAAACATTTTTCATAAAACTAATTACATAAAAACAAACATACCCCTAATTTAGACCAAATTTTAAAAAATTAACTCCAATATTTATACCTTGCCATCTTCTTCTTCTTCTTCTTCTGATCCATAAACATAAAAGTAAATAAAAAGTATATGAGGGTTATTGAAATAAAGAAAAGTATATATACTCTCTACTTGTTATTGAAATTAATTAAATAGAAGTACAAAATTTCCGTTTATTTGAATAATTACTATATAATAGAATAATAATAATTACTATATAAGATTAAACAGATTTGTTAACATAAAGAAACGGGTAGACGAATAAAATTCATTTGCAGAAAAGGAAAGCCTATTGAGATGCTTGTATGTACAAAAGATTGGTCATCTTGTGAGTTTTGACAAATAGATACATACATGGATTTTACATTTGAAGCAAATAATAAGAGGTGACCATGTACCTCTAATCAAATGGATCGATTCGCGGGTCGTGTTCGCTTGCCATTGCCATTCCGGTGCAAAGACATGTTGGACACATCACCTGCCGCAAGTTACAAAAAGAAACAGTTATGAAGAGACGTACATATTCCCGACATCAAAGAATGCTACCTCCGGCAAAGATAGTTATATAATGAAACACCATTAGATTTCCCGGTTGATATGCAGCACAAGTAAACAAATCACTGAGACTACATACTTTTAGATGACTAACCTTTCCGGATCCCGAACAGTTTGAACATCTTTCGGATATGGGGGGTGATAAAGGCCGGTCTCCGCCGTTCACGGTGGAGACTGGTTCAGTAAGAACAATCGATCCAGTAGTTAAGCAGCGAGCACAAGCAAGATATCCTGCATATACCAGTTCATATAGACCTATCAAATCTCAATCCGGAAGAACGCATACCTGAAGTGACTAGAACGGTAATGATCCGACTATAACGACTTGAGCCAAAAACAACCCCAACTTGAAATGACAGTAATCCAAAACCCAAAAGACCTGAACTGAAACCGAAATGATCCAAAAATTCTTAACATCCGCATGGACTGTTCTAAATTGACCCAGCCCAAATCTAACCCAACTTGTCCGATTGATAGGTCTAGATGAATAAGATACCGTATATGGAATATAGCAAGGCTGGAAAAAGAGGGAAGTCAAAAGAATATACCTGTTCCAAGACAGTATTTGCATCGTTTATGCTCTTGCTGTTTAACATTGTTTATTTCAACTACCATCAAGGCTGAGATTACCCCTACAGCTCCTCCAGAGAAGGATGCTACTATAGGATCTACCTGACTGCATTTACCACGAACGGAACAGTGTTTAATGATACTACAGTGAAACAAAATTGAATCCACATGTTTAACAACTTGATAACAACAAACAGATGTAACTTCTTTCTGGAAGCGGACTTCTCTAAGAAATTAATTCCCCATTAATATTTCTAAGTAAATATCGTAAATTTCATAAGTTCGGTTTGTGACAATTGCAGCTGCCATTCTTATCTAGGAGTATAACCAAAAGAAGTGTTATAACTTACAAGGAAATCAAAAGGACATCAACTTTATCATGGTAGCAAGATAGCAATCAAGCAAAAGAGCTCAAGTTATGCCAAATAATAAAACAACGATTCACTACAAACGAAGAAGACTGTTCATACCTCAACTGCATAGGCAGATGTACACTCCCAATGAAATCTGCATATGATGTGCCTCCTAGTCCAAGCTTAAGCTCCAGCTAGGATATATGGGAAGAGAAAGAAATAGGATGCATAAGGAAAAAGAATGCGACTTCAAAAACCATGTCTAATTCTATTCTGTGCATATTCATATTAAAATAACATAGCATGTCCATCAGCAAATTCCAAACGAGATTCTTTTACTAAAAGAGAATTTCAGCACTAGTGAGGCAAACAATGTAAATGATTATTTCCCTTCAAATGTTTTATCAAAAGAACACATTCCATTCATTCTATTCCTAAAAGCACAACTGCCCAACCAACGACATCAACCCAAGAGAGACTAGATCGCGAATGACTTACAGTGGGAGCTAGAAGTCCACCAAAAATAATAATCCCAGCAATAAGAGAATAACAAGTCACATAATAAACCTTGAGATTCGATGAGGTCTGCAAGTGAAATACAAGGTCAAATATAGATAATTGTACATTGATTAACTTCAGTTTATTAATAAAAATTCTGTTCATCTAAAAAAAAAAAAGCAAAAAGTTAAGTTGATTGGCGAAACACATAATTAAAACAAAAATCTTACCAATGGAGGCAGAAATGGGATGAATGATGGAAAATTAGGAAGATCACTTTCTTGCTCTTCCTTGTAAATACCAAGTTCAGCACACTTAATTCTTTGTTGTATCCTTAACCTCCGAACCTACAGAAATATTTGGGATTTCTCATTATAAGCCATTGCTACTTGATGAGAATATGCAGGAACTTTCCAAAACTCAGGTAAAAAAAACTAATTTAGAAGAAACTCAGTCATTTGACCTCTTCCATTTGGAGAAAGATTTTATTTCGTCTACTTCGAATATTATCCTCAATTTCTTGCAGTTCCATTGTGGCGAAATCCTGGACTGTTTCAGGCCCTTCTATGATGCAAAATCTGGATCATATAATCCTAAGCTTTTGAAATTCATACTTTGATACTTTTCAAACATAAACGAGTCCGATCTTAACTAATTTAGCTTTTCATAGCTCAGAATTTACATGACAAATGAAATTCAAATTTCGATTCCATAAAGCAATAAAGAAATTACCCGGCGCCAGTTTTATCTGCGGTAGAATCAGAATCAACAGACGGCGCGGAGAAAGAGGAATCGGGATCAGTAGCCATAGATTGCCATCTCGAATTTAATTTGCGCTTCGTATGAACGAATCTACGACTCAAAGGAGGAGCCGAAGGCTTTACCGTACAAGAAACCACAAAGAATCGACTCAAACAAACCATCCTCGAGAAGAAGAAAGATGTTCCACCTTGATTTGCACTTTCTGCTCTCAATTAAATCTCATATCCAGTGGTGTGATTTTCCTAAACGATTTACAGAGAGATCGAAGAAGACAAAGCGGAAGCATTAACTCTTGATGCAAACGTGAATGGCGAAGATGAATCGGAAGCCAGTAATGCTGCCAATTAAGTGGAATCATAAGGTTACCTGCTTTTCTTTTTATGGATATTTTAGTTCCCTTGACAATGACTTCCATTTTTGTTTGTTTGTATTTATGGTAAACTTTTTCTAGATGAGGATAAGAAAGAAATTATTCAAAAAGGTAAATTCAAAATTCCATCACTTAACTGTTATATCAATCTTATTATAGTCACTATATTTATACGAATTTTAATTTACTCACTTAACTTTTGATTTGTTCTCATTTTGATCCTTAGAACCTTAAATCAGAAATGAAAGTATGAAATCGTAACCATGTATGCTGATGCGGACTTGTTTTTTTTCACTCGCATCCGCACCAATTTTTTATTTTGTTATTTCATATTCATCCTTTAAAGGGATGAGATTTAATAGGGACACATTTATTCGATTCGATTTGATTCAATCTAATTAAGTTGGTTTTGTTTTCTTTTTTCTTGTCAATTCAAATTTAGGATAAGTCGATATTTTTTAAAGGGATGAGATTTAGTAGGGACAGATTTAGGTTTAGGATGAAAAATTTTCACTTGAGATAATATTATAATATTGTTTATATATTTAGGGATATTTAGAATAATATCATTCTTTTAATTCTTTATTTTACGTAATAAATATATATATATCCAGGTCGGGTGCGAATTTTTACTCGAAAAATCGAGTCAAAATTTGAGTTGAATGAGATTATCCTAAACTTAGGTTAGCTCGAATGCAAGTGGAATTTTCGATCCAAGTTCGGGTAGATAGAAACTAGACTTAAAAAATCTAATTGGATTTCAAGTTGGATGAAGTTCCCTTAAGCACATATTGAATCAAATGTGAGTAAAAAATTAAATTTTAAATTCAAATTCAAATGAACTAAAAATCAGACTCGACTTGATCATGATATATTTCAAGTTGAAGTTGGGTTGTAATACCCCAAAAATTTGGATAATGACCAAAATGGAAATTTTGAATGTTTGATGGTTAAAGTAGAATAATTGAGAAAAAGTTTAGGGAATTAATGGTGATTTTCTCAAAAAGAATTTTATTTCATAAATGGATTTATTTAGTGGCCAAATTATAAATTTGGTAAAGTTTGGTGACCAAAATATAAACTTTAAAAAGTTTAGGGACCAAAATGTAATTTTAAAAAAATTACATATGGGTCACGAAAATAAGTAAATAAAAATATTATTTTCTCATTTTTAAAATGTTGGAAAATAATATTTAATGGTTTAATTCAATGTTTAATTTGAATTGTTTGATTAAAGTGACTTAATTGTAATTTTTGAAAATTACAAGGGAAAAACGGTAAAGTGAAAAATTAATTAGTACATCTTTGACTATTGAAAGATGACAAGATGATATTTATCTGATTTTGAAGATGATAAGGATATGTATTTTGGTTTAATGGTGATTATAAATTTATATTAAGGGTATATTGATATTTTCTCAAGTTAATGATTAAATATTATTTTAAAAGATGATAAGCATGATATGAATCTAAAATATCATGCTAAATGTTCATCTTCTCCAGCATCTTCACGTGAGAAACCTTGAAGGTAAGAAAATATTTTATTTTCAATTTTTGAGCTAATTACTTTGGAATTGGGGTTATGTCGTGAAATAGGAAAATGATCTACGCGAAAAACGCTATCATTTGGTACCAATATTACTTTATAATTTTGTTGGATTTCAAAGATCCCAAATCTAAGGTTTGTGTTCATATAAGGGATCATGAAATTGATGATGAATCTTGATGTTTTTGAGGTTGTAGATTCATATTCAAGCTTGATTGATGGTTATAACATTTCAATCTTCCTAGAATTAATTCTATAAAAATTTTCCAACTATCAAGTTGGATAACTTTGTGTTTTGATGAGAGATAATTAGGGATTTGATTGTAGAAATGTTTTAAGGTTGATTGAAAGTTGATTTCATACTTGAATCGAATCAAAATCGAGCAAAATCATGGAAAACCTAGTTTTGATCTTTAAACCATTAGGCTTTGGTCTTAAAGGATGAGAAAAACTATGGAAAAATTATATATGGGTTGGAAATGATGAAGGAAATATTCTACAAGCCTTAGAAAAATTAGGGACCATTTCATAATTTTTGAAAAGTTGGAGATCAATTCATAAATTCTGGAAAATTGAGGGGTTGTTTTATAAGTGTTGTATAATTGATGTACTATACTGGAAATTGTTGATTGGGAATTTAAATGAGTGTTATATGTGAAAAATGACTATTTTGGAAATTTGAAAAGATTGATGATTTAAGTACAACACTTACATAGTTGGGGTACTTAAATGTAATTATGCCTTTATAAAGCATTTGTATGATAGATATTACAATTTTGGAATTTTGGTATTAAGAATTTAAGTGATAAAATGGTGAAGGACCATTTTTGTGTAAATTGGAAAGGTTGGTTCCAATGTTAAAAGGAATTATTAAGTGTTTAATATTTGGTAGAAATGGAGTTGTTATGGGATATGTTTATGTTAGTATAATACTAACATATGTATCATTTTGAATTTGTGATTTATATACAGATCATGATTAATTTGCGATTGAAGCAAGTCAAGTATAAAAAGGGTTTATTATGGAACATACTGAGGCACATATTGTGGATTTTATAAAGTGTCAAGGTGAGTGCAATACATGCATGAAATTATGCATGGATGTTTTATACATCATCAGGAAGACTTGCGATAAGTCAACCTTATTTATATCAGCATGATATATGTTATTTTTATAACTTCGACATGACATTGAAATGTCACGGTATGAAATTAAAATGCATTGATCATGAAAAAAATGTGATATTTTACCATGAATGTTTTCGGGTATGAACTGCCCAATGATAAATTTGATAATATACTTTGCCATGGATGGATTGAATAAAATAGACTATATGCCCCAGTAAGTCATTAAAGGATAGGGTATAGTTGGCATGCCATAGAGTATAGCAGCTATAGGTTCATAATACACTTCGGTGTATATGGTGGGCACGACTTTATGTGTAATACACTTCGGTGTATATGGTGGGCACGACCTTATATGTAGCACTACGGTGCAAATGTTACTCGAATACCCAGGGTCCTCATGGTTGTATATTGGGTTATAGGCTATGGATTATGGTTTATTGCTTGATAAATGGTAAGCATGCAAATAAGCTTACGAGCTTATGGAATATTGGCAAGTATATGGGTAAAAATAAGCTTACGAGCTTATGGGACAAATGGTAATTATTTTGGTAAAATAAGCTTACAGGCTTACGAAAATAAATGGTAAAATATTGGATATGCAAATAAAATGATTTTATGTCATTTTGAATTTGACATTGAAAATCATGCATGAATTGTATTGAACTGGTTATTGTTTTTAATTGCCTCACTAAGTAATACTTAGCGTGTGATGATTTTCACGTGTAGGTAAAAAGCCAGTAGTGGTAAAGTGACATCAAGCATCGAGATGTATATTTTCAATATCAGTAAGACATCCTAAGATGTAATGTTGACTATATTAGTGGCATGTAATTATTAAGTTTTACTTGCTTTGATGAAAGGATAAATTTTTATGAATTTACATGTGTAATGCTGAATTTACTGTAGCAGTCACTGTAGCAGTGCATCGACGCAATGTAGCAGTACATCGATGCACAAATATAATTTGAAATTTTGGTGCATCGGTATACTGTTCACGTTACTGTAGCAGTGCATCGGTACAATGTTCACTGTTCACGGGTAATGTTCATCACTGTTCATGGTAATGTTCATCACTGTTCACGATATTGTTCATCACTATTCATAAAAAATCTTTTAAATTAAATTTGCTATAACAAAATATAAATTATATGATATGATATTTTTATAATATCAATTATCATTTTAAGAAAATAAATTTTAAATCGCTGTGTAAATTGGATAATGGTTTTCGAAAATTCGGGTGACATCTATAATCTATATAAGTATAATTATACAGGTTATGAGTGTTACATTTATTGGCATCAGAGCTACATGTTTAGCCGATTCTAGGACTAAACCGAGGTTGTTTTGAGTTCAAAAGTGTATATATGCCACTAGGATGTCAAAAGTTACTGATAGTTGTATATATAATGTGATGATGCTTATTGGGAGTAAAGTTATTATTTACTAATGAATGATGATTTTGACTATGTTTAGATGTTGGAATTAAAGACAAAGGTTAGAAAGTTGAAAATGTTGAAAAGAAAGTCGAGATATAAAATCGACAAAAAGGGACCCGACATGGTTTATGTAAAACACCTTAGAAGGGTGGATATAGTAAGGGATTTTTCTCCATTGTGTGGAAGAAATGCCCCAGCTTTCAACGAAGTTTATAAATTGGAAGAATCGATTAAAAAGTTTAAATGGATTACAAGAAAAGTCGAATAGGATGAGGATCCATAGGAGATTTCTGAATCTAGTGATGATTTTGAGGTTTTTCATGTAAGCTTAAATAAGTGAAATATTTAAGTTAACCATTAAATTGATTAAATCATTGTTGATTTGAGTAAGACGAATTGAGTAAGCAGTAAATATGATTTCCGCTAAATGTTTAAATAAAGTTGAGTTAATAGTGAATCAAATGATTATGAGTTTGATTGAAAATAGATATCAAGTCCATAAAACGGGATAGAATTACCTTGTGAAGGTAAATATGAGAAAATGGGTTGTCTAGCCTTCCATGCTGAAATGAATTATTGTATAGATCGATATTGATTCTCAAGAACTTGAAAAGTGCCAGGTTCTTAGTGAGAGGAAAAATAGTAAATTACTTGATAGTGTGATTTTAGCATTAACTGCTATGAAGTTATTGCTACAAATTGTCAAATTTTCTTATTGAACGATATTGACATTTAGACTTTCAGTTGTGATTGAAAATGTTTCAACTGTTCGAAAATATTATTTTTGGATATGGAAAAGTTATACAGATTTCCTTAGGATGAAATAAGGAATTCCAAAGTAGAAATATTCAATTCTACTTGATATCGAGAGATATTATAGTGGACGACTATAGGTTACGGTCATGATACAAGTTTAGTCGGACGATTAATAAATGTTCGATAAAGACTTAGGAACTTATGTTCCTGATGAATCTGATGGGATTATCATTAACAAGTTTTAGATCATTTTGATCATGAGTTGGTTGTCTCTGCATTAAGGTTGGGTTAATAGTCGCGAGAAGCGATTAATTTAGAAAAATACAGAGAAATAAAAAAAATATAGTGATTGATGAAAAAGCAAAATCATCACTAACGTGATATCAACAATGGTTGCGATTAAGAAGATGTAAAAAGGATACATAGCTTTTGTAGCTAAAGTGATAGATACTTAAGTATCTGAAGTAAGATCATATGATATTTCCATAACTCAGGAATTTCCATATATCTTTCTAGATTTATTATTTGGGTTACCTCCAAATTGAGAGGTGGAATTTAATATTGATAGTTATCAAGGCATTAATCATGTATTTATGGGTTCATATCGAATGATTGCGATTGAGTAAAGAAAATAAAGAACCAATTGCAAGAGCTACTAAATTGAGGATTCTTTAGACCGAGTATTTCACATTGAGGTGAACCAGTGTTGTTTAAAAAAAATGGATATGTGCGATTATGCATAAATTATCGATAGTTAAACAAAGTAACTATCAAGAACAAATATCCTATTTTGAGGATTGATGACTTATTTGATCAACTTATTGGAGTAGTTGTTTTCCCTAAGATTGATCTTAGATGGGATATCTCCAGTTAAATATTAAAGAGGAAGATGTTTCAAAGATAGTTTTCAGAACACGGTATGGACACTATGAGTTCGTAGTAATGTCGTTTGGTTTGACAAATGTTGAGGCAACATTCATAGATTTGATGAATCGAGTATTTTAAATTTTACTTGGATTAATTTGAGATGGTATGTATTGATGACATTCAGGTATACTCGAAGACAAAGTTAGAGCATGATGCTTATCTTTGTAATGTGCTCGAGATACTTAAGGATAAAAAGTTATATGCCAAACTGTCAAAGTGTGAGTTTTGGCTATCAGAAGTTGATTTTCTTAGTCATGTTGTCTCAGCATATGGCATAAGAGCTAAAAAATATATATATGAAAAAAATAAAAAAAAATATAAAAAAAAAAGAAAAAGAGAAAAAAATGAGAGATGATTAATATATATATATATATATATATATATATATATATATATCACTGGTGAAAAAATAAATATGCGAGACTAAAGACTTTGAAGTTAACTCTGATGGGTATCTATTTTATCAAGAAGAATTTGTATTCCTCATAATGATGAGTTAAAGAAAGATATTATTTCTGAGGCACATTATAGTCTACTGACTATGCATACAAGTGGAAACAAAATGTATCAAGATGTAAAAATTCATTTTGGTGGCCATGTATGAAAAGAAACATTATTGAGTTATTGCTACATGTTTGACATGTTAACAAGTAAAAGTTGAGAATCAAGTGCTTTCATAATTGTTGCAACTGATTTCTATTTCAGAGTGGAAATAGTAAAGAGTCACTATGAATTTTGTTACAGGATTCTATTTGGGTGATAGTGACCGGTTAATTAAATCAGCACATTTCATTTTGATGCGAATAGACAATGCATTGGATAAATATACAGAGTTGTATATCAAGGAGATAGTTTGACTACATAGAATGCCAGTATCCATTATATCGGACAGAGATCCAAGGTTTACTTTAAGATTTTGAAAATATTTGCATAAAGTTTTGGGTACTTGATTGAATTTCAGTATGACTTTCATCCATATACGGATGATAAGTCAAAAAGTATTATTCAGATATTGGAAGATATGCTGAGTGCATGTTTGATTGATTCTAAGGAATTATGAAAAAAGAAAAGTATTTGTTTTTAGTAGAATTTTTCTACAATAACAGTTATCAATTGAGTAGCAAAATGGCTCTGTATGAAGTTTTATATGGGAGAAAATGTTGAATCTCATTAAATTGATTCGAGTTAAAAGATCGAAATCTGGTTGACCAGATTTATTGAAAGAGGTTGAGGATAAAGTAAAGATAATCTCAAGATGACATTTGATCGGCAAAAGTTTTATGCAGACTTGAAGCAAAAAGAGATTGAATTTCAAGAAGGTGATGAAGTTGTTTTTCTTAAAATATCACCTTGAAAAAAAATTGTGTTTTGGGCTCAAAGGAAAAACTAAGTCTAAGATTCATTGGACCCTATGAGATATTAAAAAGAGTTAGACTGATAGTTTATTAGTTTACATTAACTCTAGAGGTAATTGAGATCCAGAGTTGGATAAAGTACACAATGTTTTTCATGTGTCGATGCTTAAAAAGTATCGATTGGATCTTTCACATGTAATTTCATCAGAGGAAAATTGAGATCTGACCAGATTTGTTTTTTTTTTAAGAAGAATCAATTCGGATCTTAGCTTGAGAAATCAAAGAACTGCGTAAATTGAGAAATCAATTCGGATTACTATTCATAAAAAATCTTTTAAATTAAATTTGCTATAACAAAATATAAATTATATGATATGATATTTTTATAATATCAATTACCATTTTAAGAAAATAAATTTTAAATCACTGTGTAAATTGGATAATGGTTTTCGAAAATTCGGGTGACATCTATAATCTGTATAGGTATAATTATACGGGTTATGGGTGTTACATGGGTAACCATACCCAAATACATAGTTTATCCTATACTTTAAAACAATAAGTAAATGAATTTTAAATTATAAAAATTATGTCATATTACACTTTTAAATATTTATATTTATATTGATTGCACGAACAAATGAACTCAGTTTTTAAGGGATGATTGTTATTATTAGAGGTCCACAACTCGAGCATGACGTATGTATGATGTTTGAGTGTTTTTTGTCAAATGATTAAGAATATTTTGAATGATTACTGTATTATAAAAATACATATATAAAAATATACACCATAAAATAATTTTAATATATATATATATAGTAAATATAAGTATAAAATATGTAATGCTTGACAAATATAGGGTTTGTTTGTTTCATTGTAATTGATTTTTCGAAAACTATTTTCTTCATTTTTAATGTTTAGTTCGTAGAAAACAAAAAGTCAACACAATTCATTTCATGGTTAATATAATTTCCTTTGCATTTTCTTGAAAATTACCTATAATTTGATTTTCCTTAAGTCATTTTCCAAATATTTAAAATAATAATATTTTATGTATTTGATATTAATATACTATTTTAGTATAATTTTAATAAAAAATTTAATTAGTAAAATATATTTATTAATAATTTTAATAATATAATATTTTTAATGTTATAATAATATATTAAATTATATTATAATAATATAATGTATTACATTTTTATTTTAATAATATATAATAAATTATTAATAAAATTAAGTTTATTACTTAATTTCATAAAATAATAT